GCTTGTTGCGCCGATTGATTTCCTGTGCAGCCACTGAAAACAACTAATCTTGTTGAGTCGAAACATCAAGGTTTTTGGCTTAGGCTTTAGCCGCCGCGACTTCTCCGCGCATGATTGGCGCACGCGGGCCCAAGCCCCAGGCCCCTGAGGGCCCAGGCCTCAAACGCCTGAGGCCCGGGTCCCCAACCCCTAGGTTGAGCATGGTGATCAGGGTGCCCACCAAAGCCAGGCTCTCATCAAGGGTTGGACACGTCTGCAACAACACTGCAGTGTTGGTCCTGCACAGTCCCGGCAACCTCTCTTTGTTGCGCCGATTGATTTCCTAAAACAGCAAAGCTGCTGAGTCCCGGCAGCCTAGCTTGGACTAATCTTGTTGGGCCGATGGGTCCAGCCGCTGAAAACCTCAAGGTTTAGTGTTTAATTTTTTGCGATTTTTCTGCCCCTGGGTCGGCGGACTGAGCCGCAGGCTCTTCAGTCGAGGAATGGACAAGCCTAGTGCCAGTATTGTGATTGTCAATGTCTATTGGAGTCAGGTATCCTATACCATGCATGTTATACGAGGAATCCAGGACAAAACATTGTTGATTTAGGTTTCTGCTGTATATAAATCCCCTGCATGAGGAACCACGACGCTAACACATTGGGCTGCCTTATACCGGTGCCGCAAACCTGGATCCTCCTGGTGTTCTTAAATGGACGTTGCAGGGACCCCATAGTGGGTGTTTAGGCTATAGAGGGCAGTTGAAGGTTCCAGGAACAGCCCTAAACCCTAAACCCCCTAAACCCTAAACCCTGCGCCCCTCTTTGGCATTTCCCGTGTGAAGTCAAGCTGCAAAGATGTTGGGTCTTCATCAGATGCCTGCACGGTGACGAGTCGTGATTGGTGCTGGTTATATGGGGGCTTCCCAAAATTAGGGGTACCTTTTTGGGGGTTTAGGGTTTAAGGGGTTCAGGGTTCAGGTTAGGGGCCCCCCTAATAAGGATTATGGTATATTGGGGTCTATATTGGAGTCTCCCTATTCGGGGAAACTACCATATAGCTATATGGGAAGTTCGCGCGCACTTCGAATACCCGTAAGGGATCTCTGAGCGAGGGAGACAGAGAGACAGAGATAGAGATTGAAATTGAGATAGAGATTATGAATATGATTATGACTTTGAGTGGACGGGACTACAGCAAAGGGCTTCCTGTTAAAGATGGCGCCCTTAATTTCAAACCCTAAGCCCTAAACCGCTGGTTTTCTCCCTGTTTTTACCAAGGCTTCGTCTGGAAGTGTTAGCCCCGGCGTACCTCCTGGTGCTTGAAAAGCCCGAGGATGATTCATGTGAGAGCCTAAACCCTCGAAATCGATTTCGGAATTAGGGTTTAGGGTTGAGGGTTTAGGGCTATACTGCAAATACATGAGGACTGCAAGGGGATTCCTTTGTTACATGTCCCGGATAGTTGAAGGTTTGGGGTGATGCAGCAAGCAGGCAGATGTTCAATCCAACCTTGACATGATCCGCCAAGCCCTAGGTTTAGGGTTTAGGGTGCCCTAAATTCTAAGCCCCAAATCCTAAATCCTAAGCCCTAAACTCAAAGTTCCCTCGGCCCCTAGTAGAAATTAAAATTCCAGCAAATGCATGAACAACAAATCCGTCACCGTACTCCTCAGCCTAAACCCTCGACCCTCAGCCCTACATGTCTTTCAGCGTCCCTCCGCGGCCTCCTGCAGCTGGGAGATTTGCTCCGAAACTGCCTGCATGTATGGGTTTAGGGTTTTGGGTTTATAAGGTTTACATTATCTCAGATTGGAAGGAGAATGCCTCTGGGTCCCATGCATGGAGTTCCAGGGATATGGAGGAAAATAACCCTGTGAACCCTAAATCCTAAACCCTAGATCCTATTGGGGGTCAGTTCATGCCTCAAAGCCCCCTCCAAGGGTAAGGCCCATCCATTTACGCCATGCTAGCTCCGTGACCCCTACGCTAACTCCACAACCTCTACTGGCAGGACCATAAGTCGAAAAATAAAATGTTTAGGGTTTAAAATTCCAGCTAACCTGAAGAACCTCCTATCTCAAAAATACCACACCCGAAATCCATGGACGTTCAGCGATTCGACGGCACAAGTTCTAGCTGACATGGAATGGCATAAACCTATACCAAAACGCCCCCCCAAGAACCTCCCTCCTGAGAAGAGAAATCGACAAAATTTCGAGGAGGACGTCTCGAGCTCCCGTGCAAAGTGCAGATGGGAAACTTCTTCAAAGATCCGGCCAAGAGTTCCAGCATTGCTTGCTCTTTCAAGGACAGCGGGCGCCACCATTGTGGCCATTAGGGGGCAATTGCTTCGTCCAACAGCGGGCCACCCAGGTGAGGCATGATTCTTGTCGTGCCAAGCGTCTCTCGTCGGGCCAGGACTCAAGTGAAACTTAGGGCCTAGGGTTTAGCTAGTATACCCTGATCGTAGATTTGTTGTCATTCTTAACTTTGCTAATTGCTTGACAAAGCCACGCTTTCTTTTGTTATGATCCCTTCGCCATAAACCACCATTTAAGGGTGAGGTTGCGTGAGGTTGTTAGACTTTGCCCAATCAACTGGGAGCTTCCAAGAAGGAGCAGAATCCACTGGGCTTGGGGTTTATAGGGTTTAGGGTTTAGTGAAAGGGAGCTCTGGTTGTTGGAAACCCTTCATTCAGAAACCCTGTCTATGAAATCCCTATACTCTTAATAGGGCCTCTTTGGGAGAAACCCTGTTTTTGACCAAACTTAAATCCCATATACCCTACCTATAGTATCCCTGAAGTCCCCATATAGCCCTTCTGAAGCAACTGCTTGAGAAAACGGAGCCCTACATGCCCGAAATAATCCCCATCTCCCCTATAAGGCCCCTTGAGTTGAAAAAGGACCCCAAATCGCTGGGATCCCCCATTCATAGGGGCTATCCCAATTATAAGCAAGGTTATAATCCCAGTTATAAGTAGTTACTTTGTCCATGGACCTCCAAGTACAAGGCTCCTTGGAGGAACAGCAAAGTACTGGAAGTGCCGACTTCTACTAAAATCCTAAGCCTAAACCCGAGACCGTATATCCTAAACCCCTATAAAAACCTAGCCCTAAATCCTAAACCGTATATCCTAAACCGTAAGCCCTAATCCCCAAACCCTTAACTCTAAACCGTATACCGTAAACCCTAGTCACTACTACCGTATATCCTAAACCGTAAACCCTGATCCCTAAACCCTGAACCTCATATCCTAAACCCTAAACCCTAACCCCGAAACCCTGAACCCTTCACCCTAAATCCTAAACCATAAATCCTAAGCCCTAATCCCGAATCCCTAAACCCTAAATCCTCAATCCTAAGCCCTAAACTGTATGTCCTAAACCCCAAACTAACCCTAACCTCGGCTGCCTGCAGCCGGGCCATTGCGGCGAAGTCCCTGGCCCAGGCGGGTGCGCGAGGGTGCGGCACCTGTGTTTGAGGTTTAGGATTTATGGCTTAGCGTTTACCTGGACCTCAAAAATATGTAAAATAATGGCCTCACGACTATTATTTTACATACTTTTGAGGTTTCGGTATGGTTTAGGGTAGAAGCTTCAGAAATAGAGCTGCTGTTCTTGTCATTGCCCCATGGTTGTTTTTGGACCAAACAAAGAATCACCTGAAAGTGGCAGCGTAGCAGTAGTGGGGTCTAGAAGGGTTCTTCTTGCTGCAGCTTTCGCTAGCTTTCATATGAGCAGTATTCATTGCTGGTGGCACTGTCCGAGTGCCCTTTTCAGGGTCGTAACCAAAGCATCTCTCTGAATCCGGATACCTCTAATCCTTCCCTAGACATAGAACCCACTTCAAAATTCAAGGGCCTCAGGGAGGTGTCTGCGAGTAATGTAGAGGCCAAACACATAAACAGAAACTGGCATCAAAAAGGAGTCTAGCAAGATTGCTAGGGGGCGATGTTGCCGGTTATGCAGGTGTCTATCCCTAAGGGTACAAGGACCCAAGTAATAGGGTTTTAGGGCCCAAGCACTATAATATTGATGGTATTTGGGCCCTGAAACCCTATTATTTGGGTCCTTGGACACTAGGGTATGTTGTATCTGGTTTTGTTCGGCTTGGTCTTTCCTCGCAGGCACTTACCTCGAGCGGGGGAGTCGCCAAACTGTTGACTGTTGGCTGCTTGGATCCCAAGGTAAATTGCCCTTTGAAGCTGCCTAGGTATATTAGGGGCAACTAGTATCATAGTCCCCATATACCCCATATTCTATCTACTTAAGGTGGATTAGAATTATTGATCACAGTACTTATTAGACATTACGGGATATTACCTCCCCCTGGCTAGCTTGAACGAGTTTCAAACGGTTGAAGGTTTAGGGCTTAGGGTTGTCTGTATCATCCTACAAGAAAGAGAGAAGTTCAAAGAGTCCGCTGACAGCGGGACCGAAGTACTTACACACAGATCTTGAGGCACTTTGGAGGTGTACCATGGTAGACTCTCAGGCGAATATGAATAATACGTATTCAAGATAGCGCAGCAACTGCAACGATAGATGTTAGTTGGACTCATCCTGGTCCTGCTCTCTTTCTCTCTCTCTCTGTCTGCCTCTCTCTGTAGGGCAGCTCCCATTTCGCATGGGTGCCCGATCGCCCTCGAGCAGCAGAGCAGAAGAGCAAATGGGAGGAAGTTGCCCTAAATGAGCTATAGTCTAAACTCCTTGCTTCCCCCTTAATAACCATTATAGTAGTACCCTATATAATCCCCTATATAACCCCCTTTAAGGAATGTAGACTATAGCTCAAATAATATTCATGCGGTTTAGAGTTTAGCGACACCTCCTGAAAGGACCAGACTAAAAGTATAGTTGCCAGTACCCCCAACTCACCCCCACGTACAAGTACGCTGGAAGTGAACCCTAAGGGTCCAAGGACCCAAATAATAGGGTCCCTGAAAAGGGATTCTAGGTGGATATAATATAGGGTTTAGGGTTTAGGGGTTAAGGGTCCAAGGACCAAAATACTAGGGCTTTAGGGCCTAAATACCATTAATGTTATAGTATTTGGGCCCTAAAACCCGATTATTTGGGTCCTTGGACGCTTAGGGGAATAGTCACCAACACATGGGGAGGTCCACTGAAACTGTGGCATGGTTGATGTTCTTTTCCGTGGGGTTCTCCATTATCCGTTAACCCAAACACCCCCACATAGCCCCCGGTATAACGCCTGCATCCCTACTTCCTGTCTCTCGCTCTCTCTATCTATAAGATATATATATATATGTAGACATACTCTTCAAAGATTGTATAAAACATTCCATGATTATCTCTTGGGTTTTCAATACCTACAGAGTGTGTATCTGCAGGTACGGTGGATGCAACAAATCGTGCAGAACTTTACGTATTATACTTTGGGAATTATGGGATTGCCGTGGTCTAAGATCATGCAGGGTTTCGCTATCAACAATATCACCTCCCAAGACGTAATCCCAGTCTCCATTTGATTTTCATGCCCTAAACGCTAAGCCCTAAGCTCTTTCCGTCTGATTCTCCATTATTGTTGGGCCCTATCATGCCTATATCTCTACAACTGGAGAGGCCCTCCATCAAACCCAAAACCCTGAACCCTAGACCCCGAACCCGAAGCCCTGAACCCTCAACCCCGAAACCTAACCCTAAACCCTAAAGAGTAGCTCGGCTTTCTTTTCCGCTATCCTCCATGTATCCCCTATATAATACATATAATAGAATATGATATTTCCCCTACATATATATATATATATCCCTAAACCTCCCGGCAGCTCAATCCAATGGCCTGGTTTCGCAAACAGTGCTCAAGGCCATAATCCACCAACAGCTCTTCATCCTGCCCTGCACAGAACTGGGGGATTCCCAAAACTAAGGGTACCTTTTTGGGGGTTCCCAAAAATAGGGGTACCTTTTTTGGTTTAGGGTTTAGGGTTTGGGGGTACCCATAGTAAGGACCATAGTAATTGGTTCTCTATATTGGGGCCCCCTATGTAGGGAAACTACCAAATGAGGTTGGGGTCTAGGGTTTAGGTTGACCGCTTGGGTTTATCAAGTAGGGCTTCGGGTTTAGGGTCTAGGGCTAGGGGTTAGCCGCTTCGAGTTTGTTATTTTGACTTATTAAACTGGGGTTTGCTCGGGTTTACGACTGATTTCGGTTTAGGGATTAGGGTAAGTATAGCCTAAACCCTGAACCCTAATCCCTGGACCCTAAAGCCTAAACGCCTAAACCCTGAACCCTAAACAGCACAAATCCTGATTTCCTGACACGCTGAAGCCCTGCAACGACCTTACGACCCCCAACTTAGCCTTTTCACCTCCAATCCTGGGGTTTGGGTTTTGGGGTTTAAGGTTTAGGGCTTAGGGTTTGGGATTTAGGGTTTAGGATTTGGGGCTTAGGGTTTAGCGTTCAGGGTTTAGGGTTTAGGGTTAGTTTAGGGTCTGGGATTTAGGGTCTAGGGTTTGGGGTTTAGGGTCTAGGCCCTCAACCCTAAACCAAGCCTGACGGCCAACATCATCTTAAGATATATTTGAGGTAGCCTATATGACCCTAAACCCTTTATGTATACCATACCTATACAAGGAGTCCAGTACGATGTATGGTAGTTTCCCTGAATAAGAGGACCCCAACATAGACCTCAATATTGTATAGCCCGTTCTTGAAACCGACAAGGTGCGCCTGTAGAAGTTTCTGAACCCCGCTACAGTACAGTTACCTGAACCGTCAAGCAGGAGCGCTTAGGATCTAGGGCTTTCCTGGGTTGCTGTTACGGAACT